ACCAAGGGGGAGCATGTAGATATTAAAGAGGAGAGGGCCAAGGACACAGCCCTGGGGGACGCCAGACATGACAGTGTGGGGACTGGAGGAGAAACCGTTAGAGGCAACAAAGTAGAGACTGTGAGAGAGATAGGAATCGAACCAGGCAATGGCAGGTCTGCGAACATTAAATAAAGAGTTAAAAATCAGAAAACGCTCCATTTCTGCAGTTGACATCTCTCTCCTAATGAATACAGGCATATTTTACCTTAAATGATATTATTTTAAAAGCAGAGGTTCATTCTCAGTATTGGAGGATGCGTGCAGCTACTAAGGATCAGATTCAAATTGTGTTAACATTACTCACTCCATTGACATAGTGGCGAATGTGACTAAAATGTTACAGGTCAGATACTGTTCAAATGTACAAGCTGCTTTTCAAGCAGTGACTACGAATCTTTTATTGGAGTAGCTCCATACACTGCACTATTAGAATGAAGCATAATCTACCAGTACTCACAAAAGGGGCTTTAACATGGCAGTTCTCCTTACATGCTTTCACTGACACTTGGAGTCCAGCATCACATAGACTATATTCCTATGAATCAGCAGCACACTGAGCTCTTTGTACTGAATAGTACTCTGTAGCTCAGAGTCCTGGAGATCAGATTTGCATTCCTGTTGCAGCCCTGGAGTACAGTGTTTTGATATGCAAGTGTGTTATGCCCATCGAGTGGATGGCATATAGGTTTGTGGCTGCAATTTCCCACACAGTGAGCTTATGTAAATCTTAGGTAAACCATTGAGGGATGCACGACGAAGTTAGAGATTGAATGTTCCCCGTCATTCATTTGTATCGTGAGCCAACTCCAGACAAGTCAGATCAGCAAGTGGAAAGATGTCCCTACAACAACTCACTTAAGAAATGGGGATGAGAATGAATGGTAAAAGAAAATCTTCCCTGATGGCACAATGGATTTTATACAGAATCGAACTCTACAAAACTAAAACACATTTAGCCCAACTAGTCAATGACAGTGTTTATACTCCACATCAGCCTCCAGACTTCCTATTCTGCTCTCCTATATCCCTCCAGTATCTTCTCCCTTTTGATACAAAGCCATGTAATAATAATTTCAGGGTCATCAGTTCACTGCTCACATCACTTCCTGTGCATAGTGGTGACCTACTGTCTCAGAAGCCAGCCATTTTTTCACATTTTGTTTTAACACAAAGATCTCAGTGTATGGCCCCAGAGTACTGCTTTATAATGGTTTGCCCATACATGTCTCATTCAAGAGCATTCCGCAGAATATCTATGAATTAAACGGCTATAAAATGTTAATTACTTTAAACAAATCATTTGGATACTCTGTGACGCGCTTTGAGAGATCTCACAGACATGATAAGTCACTATATCAAATGCAAGGATTATTATTATTTTATGCTTTAAAGTTCACTAAAGGAGCAAAGCCTTCACAGAAAAACATTTAGCAATATTTTGGGGGAGGATAGAGGAAAGCTAGAAGCATAAGTGCTTGCAGAATATGATACAGATCAAAGTGTTTGGATGGTATTTATGTCACTGAATTTTACGTGTGCAACTAAACACAATCAAGTTCACTGAGTGGTTTTCATGAACACAGTGTGCCTTTAACGAAGGATTGACCTCAAAATAGTTCAACGCTCATCAGGAACACATTGAAACTGAATTGTTGTGAAATTCTGATAAATCATTAACTAGTTCTCCACAAAATCATTTTTTTGGAAATCCCAGATAAAGATACTGCAGTCCATTTGCTGATCTCTGTACCACACTCGTTCATTCAACAAATTGACCTAAACCAAAACAACAGTAGTAGGTTCAGTCAGAGTGAGGAACAAAGATGGTCTGAGTACTAAAACACACAGGTGGTTTTCAGTGAAGTTAGCGGTTAATGGAGTGACTGTTTAATATGCTGTGTATTAAATAAATAATAATAATAATCATAATCATTGCATTAAATATAGCGCCTTTCACATTCAGGAGGGTGTCTCAAAACACTTCACCATCAGCCATGTAATCTACAATGTTCTGACTCAAAGGTGAAAGTGTTACCAACCGAGCCAGGCTGACACACTAAATTATTTATTTAAAACAAAAATTTTGAATATACCGTAAAGTGTAGTGACTGTATTTTACAGTTTAAAAATCTACAGAGATATATGATATATCACATTGCAAGGATTATTATTATTATTGAAGTGTATTCTGCAGGGGGGGGAAATGGGAGTCAGCAGCTGTCTGACATACGAGGAAACCTATCCCAATGCTTAAGAGTATTCAAACCAAACTTGCCTACAACATACTGTAAATAAACTTTACAGGAAAATCCTGCAGAGAGTTCTGAGGCATGAAGCTGAGCTAACTGAACCAACACAGAACTCTGGAAACTGGTGATGTTTCCTGAGGGCAAGGGAGACCTGAAAGACTTTTATGATGCTATATGCAAGTGCAATGAACATTGACCATACCCAGTAAGGAGGTATAAATGACTCATCCTTTTTGATTTAATCTAGTACAACATCTAAGTAGCTGCAAAGTGCACTTAAATGGAGACAGCAGCACAGTCATGGTGGATGTTTATGTCCTTACAACACAATCAGCTACCATCAGCTTTCTTTCCCTCATTTTGTTCTTTCATAATTTGACCTTGCGAAGATGTCTGTTATTCATTAACCCCCGTTAGCTAAAGGAACACCCAGCAAGAAAGTGCACGTGATTGGCAGCTTTTCCAGGAATCCCTTCAATTGAGCAATCATAAGCACATAATACAACCCGAACACTGTGAGTTGTTAGCAGTAATTCAATAGTCAACGTTAATACTAGTCGGCAGTACTATTTATGGCAGAGTATTCAATAATTCATGATTTTACATTTAACCCTCCATGCAAATGTTATCCCTTAGTCTTCTGCTGAGTCAAATTAAATTCCTGTCTACTGGATCAACTCACTTTATGATGTTGACATGCATATTAATGTTTATGTTAATGTTTATTACAGCTTTATTTCTGTGATATTAATGCTACACGACCAAAGGAAACATCAAAAGAATTAAATAAACAACAAAAACAGCTTTTAGATAGAAATAAGATTCAAACATTGTCTAATCTATTCTTTTTTCCTCTTTATTCTCTCTTCATTCCCCTGCACTCTGTCTTTTTGTCAAGTTCATTTTACTTTTTTCTCTCTCCAATCTAAGCTTTCCTAATTTTTCTCCTTACAAACTGCTGCCTACAAAATACACAGTCACTACACTTTACAGTAAATCCTGTGAGGCGCTTTGAGATGTCTTCCTAATTTGAAAGGTGCTATATCACCTTTCAAATCAGGATTATTATTACCATCAACACAACGCAGGACTCCAGACAGGGCTTTTCACAAGTCACCAATAACAAACTCGTTTTTACACCAACATGTTTGTTTAGTAACAATCCTACTTTCAAATGCCTCTCTCCAGGGGACATGTCACAATGTCCAGAGGTCACTTTGTTATCCTGACTAAACAAATACCATACATTTTTCCTATGTTCCCTCATTGCACTGATTCAATATACAGTCGATTCACTTTACAGTATATTCTGTGAAGCGCTTTGAGATGTCTCGAAGACGTGATAAGGCACTATATCAAATGCAAGGATTATTATTATTATTTGCATCATGGGATCATTACTGTCCCTCTTTGAACAACAGTGAGTTGAAGCATTCAAAATAAAAAAATAAATCGACAGGTTAGATAGTCTTTGACTCTTTACTCTGGTAGGGATCCATTACAAGGGAGCACAGCCTTAAAATCAGAAGTAAGACAATTAAAATTGAGGTCAGGAAACATTTCTTCACACAAAGGGTTGGGAAGATGTGGAATGCTCTGCCCCAGAAAGCTGCAGAGGTCAAATCAATTGGGATATTCCTCGACCCGGGGAAGATTTCATCCGACCCATGAACTATTTCCAACTTAACTGACATGTAAATATAGGCACCACTCAGTCTTCGAGCCAATCAAGAGACTGTCACCAGAGCCTCAGACTCTGCCTGGTTATGGAATTGGCCAATTAGGATAACATTTTGCTGATGAGGCCCACAGTCATCTCTCAAATCCAGCGTCCAGCACCTCAGCAACCCAAAAGGTTGGACCACCCTGCCAAAGACCATGAGCTCATAGCCCAACATGAGGCATGAACCTACAAACTTGTGACTCGGGCACAAGACTGCTACCAATTGAGCCGAGCTGGCACTTAAAGTAAGACAGGGAGAGAAAAAAACAAAAAAGCGACAGCAAGCAAGAGAGGCTGAGCTTTATCAAGCCAAGAGAGGGGAGAGCTTGCTTCATTCCAGTTATTTCTAGTGAATCTTTCAGAGATATTTGTGTCATTCTGTTTAAAGAGAGTTTCATTATCAGGACCCTTTTCATGATTCAAAATGATGCCCAGAATTACGCCATTCATCTGTTATGCAATCTCCATGTTGGTCTCTTTTGTTTGAATAATTTGAGTTCAAACAGCACATGATGATGAGATCATTGAGGGTGCTGACTTAGGATCTGTACTGAGCCTAGCAATTAATATGTGCCGTTGATGCTGAAGTTTGCATCTACTGAGGTCAATTGCCAAACTGGAAACTTCAGTAATCCAGGTTACTGGATTCTTATCCTCTTACCCTCTTCCCAAGCAATGATACCATCATTATCCGTGCTTTATTCCTCTAAAGCATTGCAAATTACATTTTATTTCAGACTCATTCCCCCCACATGGATGACTTATCACTGGTTTTATTTCCCATCCTCTGAATTTCTGGCAGTGTTTGACATGTTCTTTTGTGATGTAATCAGTTCAGACTCTCATATCCCGCTTCTGATGGGAGATTTCCATGCATTCACAGTGAACAAAGTGTCCGTGGGAGACTTGCAGTCTAGGAATCGTTGAAGTCAGTATTTCATTGTATGGACTGTGACAGTGACTGTGACCAGTGGTGCCAGGATTCCAGCTCGGAGAAGAACACATGAGAAAGAATCTCCAGGTGGGCAAGATGTAACAAAACCAAGGTGTAAGTGAATGACTTTCGGTATGTATGGGTGTGTGTGCTGAGAAAGAATGCTAGTGTCAAAGTAAGTAAGTACAGTCTGGCCTTCAGCCTCTCTGCCCCCAACCTTTGGAACTCCATCCCACAGTCTGTTCGCCTTGCTCCCTCTTTTGAATCCTTCAAGTCCGATCTCAAGACCATTCTCTTTGACTGCCCCTTCAGTCACCCTCACACCCCCACCCTCCCTGCCCTCCACTACTTCTGATCCCAACCTCCAGCTCGGGTCTAAATCCCTGATTGTCCAGCATCCTCCCGACATGAAATGAGCTAAACAAATGGTATTTCTTGTTTTTGTTGCCAAAACGAGCACTGAAGAGGCCTTCTGGAGAGAGAGCTGCAGAAGATTTTGATGGGGGGGGGGAGGGAAGTCCAGCACTCATCTGGTAGCTGGAATTCCAGCTAAGTGGAATTACTGGCATTTATCAGCTTTTTTCGGCACTGATAAAAAATGGCACGGAAAAATGGAACTAAATGCCACATCAGGAGATGGGGCCGGTGAGAATCTACACGCACTTCTCTTTTCAAATGGTGCTATCAGGTCTTTACCGATCACCAAACAGGCAGACAGGTCCTTAGTATAACTAAAAAATTTTCAAAAATGGTACCTCCAACAATGCAGCACCCATAAGTGGTGGGTGACGAGGGCTACGGGGGGTCAGCCCATAACTCCAAATCTATCTACAGCTCACTCTTTAAGGGGAGCTGGGAGTGGGAAAGCCCTGAGCCTTGAGAAAAAAGTCAGTCGTCTAAACAGGATTGCAGAACCCATAGGCTCACTCTTGTCCTTCTCCCAACTCATTGGCGACACCTGCCCACTTTTGGTCTGGTGGGCTGCTCATCGGGGGAGTCCTCACCTCTGATTGGCCAATGGACCTGTCAGTCATTCTCCCCCCAAATACTTTCAACCACCAGCAATGAGTATGACCTTGGAGAGTGTTTGGCTTGATCCTCTGAGGGATGGGGAGCCAATGAAGCCGGAGCTTTGTGGAGGATAAGATATGAACTGCAGAGCTACAATTAATCTGCATCTTGTGGAGGGATGAGTTGGGAAATCCGGTGAGCAGGGAATTAGCATAGTCAAGCCAGAACGTGTAGAAAACATGTATGAGAGTCTCAGCGACCTGAGGGGAGATGTATTGGCAGAGGCGGGCAATGTTGCGGAGGTGGGGGAAGGCAGAATGTGTCGCAGCATGGATGTGATCCTTCCTGATGACCTGTTCCAGTCATTAATTCCCCTCTGTATAAACACTTCCTTGTGTCTGCCCTCAAATTGCCCTTTACAACCCTGAACCTGTTTTTTCTTGCTCCATTGACTTCTTTCCTGCCCTCCCCAATCCATTTTGCCCCCAACCCCCATTTCAGGCTCCCAGTCAGCTGTGTGAAGCGGTTTGAAATGTCCTCTCAGCATGAAAGGCACTATATAAATAGTTGTTGATAGCTTATCTGAAAGGATTGTTCTGGAGTTACTTTCTCAATCCAATTTAAAATCTTATATACACAAGGCTATTTTTATTAAGGTACATAGTCAGGTCTTGTCAGAATGCCAAGACTGCAAGAACACATGAATTCATCTTCCTGTTACACCAAAGGGAATTAAATAGCTTTTCACAAACTATTATATCCTTACTACATTAATCATAAAATCAGATTTCAGTCAATATTTTATGAGTTACTAAAATATTGTTGAAATTGGGCTGGAAAACTAGAAGTGCAAACAACACAAAAACAATGTGCTCTTCATGTTTGTGCCCGTAGGAGTTGCAATTTAATGTTGGAATCACCACGTGTGTTACTGCTTGCAGGAGCATTGATAGAATCATGCTGTTCTTGCTTGAGCAAACTTCCCTTTGAGGACGAGCTGAAGTTATAGCTGTACAGGGCTTATGTGTCTCTTAACAACACTCAGTCTGATCATTCGTTTGTAATAATAAATAAATAATAATCCTTGCATTTGATATAGCACCTCATCACCTCGTTGAGATGTCTCAAACGCTTCATAGAGTATATTGTGAAGTGAATTGACTGCATATTTTGTGAGCAAAATGTGATAGCCAATGGTCAATAGCAGTGTCCTACAAAGAGTCGTGGATTAGAGTGACCCATTTTTTGGGGGGAGTGATTATTAACCCCGGAAAGCAATCTGCTAATCGACTAACAACTGGGTTCCTACTCGGTAAACAAGGACATGTGGAGTTGGGAAACTTGCCTAAGGTTTTGCCCCGCCCGGGAATCAAACTGGAGTCCTCTCGCTTGCGAGGTTAGCGTGCTAACAACTATGCTATGAGACTCCAAACTGTAAAAGCAGCTTTGTAAAAGCAGGCTTTGATGAACTGATTAACATGCTTCCTCCTGTATGAAAATTCATGCATTTGCACAGCCGTGAAAATACCCACAGGTACAAACAGAAACTAGTTCATTCCAGATGAGGTTTTCCTGTTTGATGTGATTCTGCTGGTGCTCAGTATTTATGAGTGTACTTATGGAAATAAAATATTTTGTATTCCAAGGGCTCTGGTGTCTCTTTTCTTAGTATATTTATAGGATTTTATTGAAGTACAACTAAAAACTCAATTTGTGGGGCCTGTGGGTAATGAGAGAAACTCGCTGTTCAGGCCACTTTTTAGTCGTTTACTCCCTCACCCCTTAATGGTGACTAAACTCACCAGTGAGACCGGATCACTGATAAGAACACCTCACTGATAAGAGCAAAATAAGCCAGTCTATTGACTGCCCTTATTAGCAAGTTTCTACCTTCTTTGAAACGCCTTTACTGTTTCACACAGTTTTTTTTGATAACGCCTACGGTTCAAAAGACAGCCACCTGCAGCCTCAGCTCAGGCCTATCCAAAGTCAGGAAGTGTCCAGGGTGTGGGCAGTGTCACAGTTCTTGATTGGACTTGACTACAATTTTCAACAGTCTGATAATTATCACTTCGCTCCTCACAAGTGTCACCCCGAAAGCATCAGTGAGGAACTAGCCTGGCACAAGCTCAGGTGCTGAAATTAGTGATTCAATAAAATACCAACAGCTCCAACAAATGTCCCACAAGAGGCCAGAGAGAAAAATGATGGGAAGATTCAGCAATGATAAATATCAAACTCAATCTCAATACCAGTCGCTAATTCAAATTCTACCTCTTCAAAAGTGATAATTGCCCCACCAGATCCTGCCATTAGGCCTCTCTCTCTCTCTCTCTCTCACTCAATGAGCCAAATCTCACATTCCAAATGAGAAATCAACTTGCTCACACAAACAACAATAATAAACAACAAATTAAATTTATATAGCGCCTTTCCCATCGGAAGGACAACCCAAGGCGCTGGAGTGTGGACATAGCGTGCACAAATGTGATGCCTGGAGCTACATTGTTTGCGGCACAGACATTTCAAAATAAGTAGTTGGATTTCTTAGTCAGGAGCTTCAATGCTATAGATCTGATGTTACATGGCTGCCCAACAAGGCAACAACGTTTAGATTGTGTAAGCGGTAACACAGTGCACTTAATTCAGTTTGTTAGAAAATATCCAGGAGTCTGTCTGATTGATTCTAACTTGAATTGGAAAGCTGATATATCTAAAGCAGACTTGTTTGAATTCTGTCTTTCTTCCATTTCCACTTTTAAAGCATTATCTTTCCACATTAGCTGCACCACTGTCTCTGCTTTTTATCCTGTTTCATTGAAACCTTGAAGGACTCAGTACTTCAGTGCTCCTGCTTGTTTGTGCCTGCAATGGTTTAAAATTACTTACAAATGGAATGACAAGGATGACTCACTTTTTTCAATCACCGCTAAATGGATTTTCAATGACTGGAATTTATTTTTAGCCAGTTCCGTGATTTAAGGTTTTATGAATAAAAGTAGAGCGGTAACTTTGTGTCATTGAATGAACCGTGTAATGTATACAGACAATTCAGAGGTAGAGGATGTTACATTCGTCTCCAACATATTTGTATGAGTTGTGAGAGTGAACCACAATGGGAGGAACAAAGCAATCAGTAGAGAAAGACAGAGAGAAAATGGAACAAAACAAGAATGAGAGACAAATTTGTGTTACCAAGGAATACACAACAGATAACAGTACTGTACTCATTACAGTAAACAAATGTATAAGAATAATCCTTTTTTTGCACGACATAGGTCAGTTTAATCACTAGCTTTGTGACTGAGCTCTTAATCTTCACTTCTCAGTCTGACAATGGATTCATAGGTCACAGGTTATTCTCCTTCCTTCTGGGCCTGCTCTTGAGCCATGGCTGTTTTCCCCTCCATCTCCTGGTACCTGGGGGCTGCGCCCAGCTCTTCTCACTCCAGAGCTTAATAACTCTCCAGATCAGCCAGACTCACTGTCTTTACTCCTATTGCAGCTAAAGTTATCTGCATGCCCCAGAAACAAACAAACTGCAATCAGCACCCGCGCAGAGAAAAGAGTTCTTAGTTCTGCTTGCTCAATTCACACAGTTAAGAGCACCAGAGACTAGATGTTTCTCATGGTCTTGTAGGCTTAAAACCATTTAATAAAATGTAAGATCATGCAGATTTTTGGAAATCTCTCACTGGTTTTCCACTGCTTTTACCCAGGCCAAATTATTGTGATGCAGTGAGTATTAGCAAGTTATTTAAACTGCTGGGCCATATTAACTGAGACAGATCCTATCTTCGTCCAGAATCTGCACATGCATTTCCTGCAGTGCTCACTGCCTAATAACCAGGATTGAGAAGTCTGGCTGCTTTCTCCTAACCTCAGGCACTCTGATAGAATCCTTCAGCTGAGATGTTACATGCCGTCTGCCTGTACAGGTGGCACAATTTGAAAAGAGAAGGGAATTTCTGCTGGTATCTTGGTCAATAATTCCCATTGAAAAGCACTGGTCATTCATTGAAAAACATTGGCCATTTATTAGTCATAAAAGGCTGTTCATGAGACATTGCTATACA